TCATATACCACATTTGCAATTTAATAGTATTCAGTCTAAAAAAAAGGAAACATGGTATAACACGGGTGAGCCTTGAGAGCATTATGCTAGGGGAAATAAGCCAGACACCAAGGATAAATATGATGATTCCAACTACATGGAGTACCTTGGTTAGGTGAACGCATAGAGACAGAGAGTAGAATAGAGGCTACCAAGGGGTAGAGAAGTAGGGAGAAGGTACAAGCAGTAACTGTTTAAGAGGCACAGAGTTTAATTTGGGGATGAACAAGTTCTGGAACTGGATACTGGTGATGGCTGCAGAATGTGAATATAGCTTCACTAAATTATACACTTAAAATAGTTAAAACGCTATATTTTATGTTACGCTATGTTTCATCTGACAATGTTTTGGATATACAGGGAGCAAAAAGAGATACATAACATATAAACAAGGTGTGCCTATAAAACTACTTGGATTGCAAGAATACACATATAAATTATTAGCATAATGAGACAGTAACCGAAATTCTAAAAGTGTCTCAACAGTGCAATGTAATTTTAGTTAATATCCTAATATTATCTTCTTGTAGAATAAGTTGATCCTAAATTTTATCTGGAATGCCAAGAACCAAAAAAAAAACCCAAGACAACATCCTTTAAAGGAAAACAGGCTTATTAGGTATAAGCTTTATGACTGTCATAAAGTTAGTGAGCTAATTAAGGCACTGTAGTACGACAACACAAAAAATGACAATTAGGCTAATAAAATATAGTAGAATAGCCACAGATCTCCATATGTACACAGTTGCTGTACAATAAAATGGCACTGAATGGGCCAGCCAAATAGCTCAGCAGATTAAAGTGCCTGCAAGCAGGTACAGGGGCCGGGGGTTCGATCCCCGAGCCTGCCGTGCTGAGATTGCAATTGAGACTAGGCATGGTGGTGCACACCTGTAATCCCAGGTCTCGGGAGATTGTAAACAGAAGAATTACTATGAGTCCAAGTAGTGAGACCCTGAACACCCTGTAGACCCTTCCCTAAAATAAAAAATAAAAAAAAAAAGGCACTGAAGAACAGTAAAGAAATTACGTTTTTCTTAACAACCAATGATTGCAAACTGAATAGCTACATAGAAAATGAAAGTTAGTCACTAACATTATATATGTCATACATTCCAGATCTGTTTAAGGAACATAAAATGAGCTTGGGAGGGAATGTATGGGAATTCTTTTTTTTTTTTTTTCTTTTTTTTTTTAATCTCCTGTTTAAAAGGACAGGTGACAAAGAAATGGAAATACTGGTAAGTTCAAACACATTAAGATTATTGTCTCCCTTATATTGACCACCTTAAAGTACTTACATTTCTCAGTCTCTATGGATTCCTTGCTTTGGAGGATCCATCTCAAGCCTATTCTAACATCTTGCTTTTGAATTACTACCAAGATTCTACCAAGTTGATGTTCTTCATCTAGTAAGTGAAGCTTGTGTTTGATCAGCAGGTTTCTTTAGTGATCTTTGTGAAGGAGTTGACAATTACTAATCCCTTGCTTCTTTGAGATACAAATATCAGAATCATACATGACATCTCTGAGCTCAGATCCAGAATATATTCAATAAAAGAGAAAGGAAATAAAGGTAGATAGAATTAGTCATTAAAAAGGCCAGTCAAGTATCTCAGTGGATTAAAGTGCCTG